CTCAATCTATCTGGAGATTAAGCGTTGCCAAGATTAAGCTGCAGGATACAAGTGCTAAGCAAGTTACAACTTCGTTTCAATCATTTACATATCATAAATACATTACTGAAAAATCTGCCATTTACTTTATTCTCATTATCCGATCAAAGACTTACTTGGGGAAAAAAAATGAGTCAATAATTTTATCATCCTTGAATAATCATTCTAAAACAACAGAGTTGAGTGAAACGGTTTCTACGCCAGTTAGGTACATTTCTCAGTGACAATTATGAAAGGAATATTTCCCTTCAATCTGAGGAAACTGAAACAACCAACCACCTTGGTCAGTTTGATAGGAACTATCTCAGATTCTCAAACATCGGCTAGTTAGCCTAGCCGGTAATATCTGATGATCAACTCCAGAAAAACGTCTGGAGGCAAACCGCCAGGTTCTATTCCGATGCATTATCTCAGGTTTAAAACAGTTGTACGACCAATAAAAATCTTCTATTCAGGACCGACATGGATAGTAATAATTCGAAGTGCTGCTATAGGTCCGTCGAAATGTTCTTCGAAGTGTTACATTCCATGTATTAACCCCCTTTCCTGTAATAATGTACGAAGTTCACCTTCAGGATGGTTTGGTTCAACACCTTTCAAGCTAACCTCTACAGTAAGTTTAATAAACATCAAGTACTATTCAGTCCTAACATCTTTGCTGTCACCAGCCACCACTACTTTCGGTCAGTACGAAGATGTGTAAGCTGCTCCAGTTTCTCACTGTAGTTGGAGGCTAGTCATAATGAATCGTTCTACACCAATCAATCAGCTGAAAGGATTCACTGGATTTTACTAATCCCAGCTTCGAGATTACTGATTGTTTTTACCACTGTCTCTACAACACACTAAGCATACCACCTGAATTAAACGGATGAGAATCAATGCCATCTATAGATAAATGTTCGGTTATTTAATAGAGAAAAAAAGTAAAAAGAGACTTTTCATCTGTTTCTCCTCTAAACTCATGAGTATTCTCAGAATAAACCATGCTTGCAGTTCATTCAAATACTCTGAAAGCAGCAATAATAATCAAATTATTTTCTCCACAACGGATTACAGTAGCGTGATCTATCTGTGTAATACAAGCTTCATTTTAGCGACATTAAAATGAGGCAGTCTCTTTTTTTGTTATGGAAGTTATTGCCAACCGGGAACAAAGTGATTATCAAAATGAAATCGCCGAAGATGGTTAACATTGTCAATTAGTCTACATATAACACTGTAGTTGCCTACAAGACAACTTGCCGATTAATATATTCACCCTACTCGAAAGTCGATAGCATTCGCGGATCTGACGCTAGTTGGCTGCTTAACATTTCACAGAAAAATTGACTTCCTTTCGTATAAGGTCAGAGACTTTGTAGACAAGAAGCAAATATAGACAGACACAGATAGAAACAGAAAAGAACGTAGAACCTCGCTTACAAGTGCATCGCATCACGTTGCCACACTTCACATTAGTAGAAAAAGAACAAGTGGATACAAAAAGACTAATATCAAAATTGTGTGACAGAATAAACAATAAGAAGACAACGGTTAGCGCAAATATTCAAGCCTCAGAAAAAGTCAGTAACAATAATAATAATAATAATAATAATAATAATAATAATAATAATAATAATTTATTCTTGTAAATAAAAGCACATGCCGGTTTATGGGCATGGTTATATAATAATACTAAGGGGTGAATACAAGTGAGCCATTGTGAACGATTTTCAGCCATGTTATCTAGAATCGTCAACCACGGATTCCTTTCGTTTCGGCAACCCCCTTCAGGTAGTCCACATCTCCCAATACGTCTCAGACCAACAGCCACCGACTTCATTGACTGTGGTCTTACGTCTTCGTCTTGTCACCTTCTTCCAATATGATCCACCTTCGCCTAGCATGGCACATCGACGTAGAAGAAGGTTTGGCAGGCGCAACACGTGTCTAAGCTACACCAGTCAACTAAGGTTCACAACATCATCAACTGACTTACCTATCTTGCCTAGTACCCTTCGCCTGAACTCAACATTGCTCATATGGTGATACCACCAAACACGAGCAGTGCTACGAAGATACCTGTGATCAAAAGCTTATAACCGCTTCACGTCGTCTTCTTTCAACCACTATGTCTGACAGCCGTATAACAGGACAGAACGAACTGCAGCACAGTATACTCGTCCTTTCATAGATAAATGGATATCCCGCCAGTCGGCACCACAGACGACAGAGGTTGGCAAAATGTCAGACGGGCCTTCTATATCCGAGTTGAGATATCGTCAGTAAACAGCTCGTTTGAGCTGATGCAACCCCCAAGTAAGTGAAGTGGTTGATACTTCACTTCCTATCATCAAACTGAGAGTACTTGCAGCAGACCAGTCCTGCAGCCTCATCTTACATTTGACAGGTGGGAAACTCATGCCAACCAAACACATATTTCTGCTCAACGCTTTTAGAAGACTTGCACTTTTTCAGCAGCATCTCCACCTAGCAGGACAATATCATCTGGATACTCCAAGTCAACAAGATGACCTCAATCCCTGTGAATTTAATTTCCATTACTACATTACTAACGAATTTAATTCGGAACGGTGACAGTGGGCATGCCTGGGGGACACCACTTCATGTCGTTAATTCTGATGACGACTCTCCATCAGCCCTGACACGGCTGCGTGGGTTCGAGTAGAGAGCTTTGATAAGCATGATATACTTGCTCGGTACTACCTTCAACAAGAAGCAAAATCAAGCATCGTTATGTACTAGGATGAGGCTTCTTAAGTTTTACACATCTATTGAATTACAGAGCGCACAAACGGTCAACTGAGATCTGGTCGAATAGTAAATATTCTGTTTTAGAAATTACTGCTGTAAATAGATGGGTTATACCTTGAGGAACTAATCATCTGATCAACTGGTAGGCGTACAGCAAAACTGATATTTATTATGATGATCAGTTGAGATTAACTGGATAACACTGCTTCGATCCTGTGTGTTTCGGGAAAATAATACAAATGTATTAACTAAGATTCCAGAGCATTATCCACTAAGGCTTGTCATCCTGATGTATATACCACTAGTACGTTAGGGATTACACCGTGTTTTCAGGGCACTAAAAAAAATGTTTCACTGATTTTAATCACCAGTGTTTCATCACGGGGTAAAAACAGATGAAATAAAAGGGGTGATAAGTGATGATTGGAGAATCGCATGTGCTGTTAAGAGCGTGTGGGTGTCTGATACTTCCTCAATTGCTTTAACTATTAAAATTGATATCTACCTTCAATGCTCGAGGAAGAAAGTGAATTAGTCTCCATTTTATACTTCAACAAGGAGATTACTTTTCCCCCTTTTACTCTGGAGACGAAATAAACAATTGATAATACCATTTTGGTAATTTTGATGACTTTCAGGGCGTCGATTCGGTATCCTACGTTATCCACATGGAGGGTTAAGTCGCTACCGGAGGAAACATGACGTCTTGTAATTAAAGTTGTTACCTACGTGCTCAAAACTGTAGGCAGATTGAGATGCACTACACATAGCACTTGCTGTAACGAAGACCAGAAAAGTCGTAATCTACAGAAAAGCTCCAACCGAAATCCAAGTTGGTTAGGTGATGCTGATTTTACAGTGGTACTCGTTGAAACTAATTAGAAAATATTGCACAAGCCATAGAAAGAAGGACGTAGAAACGCATAAAATTAGTCAACAGTTCTCAAAAATAAGTCCTGAAGGAAATGACACTGTAGATAAAACAAACAGAAGTAATTTGATGAGTCATATTAAAAGCCGACAACGCGAAAATTCCGGGGCCGCTGAATCATAAGACATGCTAAACCATTCTGTCAAAGTAGAGAAAATATTTTCTTTCTTAGCACACCTCGAACTATGTTTACCACGTTCCCCTTAAATGAAGAAACAGGTAAGTAGAAAGAATAAAGATGCATTAACCATCAGAGATTTTGAATATGCACAGAACAAATTCGGACAAGAAAAGTCATTTTTACTTCAAAAGTGGGATGACTTGTTGCATAATTCTCACAATAAACTGAATTACCCTTTAGAGACCATTAGTAGACTATCAGCAGACAAAAACAGCATGTATAACTCACATCCTATCATGTGGAACTGTTAAACTCCTGGAAATTTTGCCGTTTAGTACTTGTAATTCTCTGTTGCTATACAAGGTCTAATTCATCGAGCTCTGTCGGTAGATGGGCTTCTATGAGTATGGTTGGATACTGCCACATATCCATGATGCTGTATGGATCTTAGTGACTCGCGCGTTTCGTTCTATTTGAGATTCGTCAGCTGGGTGGACCTCTACTCCATTCAGTGATGTTCCTTTCTACAGACACTAGAACCCAGTACCCATCGCTTCAAACGCGAAAGCGTTATCGACCAAGCCACTGGGGCATGAGTACCGCTTATCGTGTAACGGGTATCAGCTGCTGTTTGATACTTGTAATTTCCCGTTGCTATTAAACGATAGTTGATATTCATTGCACAAGAGATGTTTCGTGTGCTCCAGTGGATAGCGTTTTGGCATTTGAAGCGATGAGTATTGGACTGGAGTTTCAATGGGAACAATATCACTTAATGGGAAGCAAGTGAATCCACCTGGAGAGTCCCAAACAGGACGAAACGCATCCTGGATTTCACTGTTAGTCAACAAGATGAATATAACTTCTAAGCTCGTTTCTTCTGGTTATTCTTACTCACAATTACTTCTCATTAAACCAAAAGTTTCACAAAACAGTAACAAGTTACAGAAAAGTGTTCCAATGAACCACAGTAATAGCAGTACTAAGTGGCAACAGACAAATTTAAATACTCCAATAGACTATCCCGGCATAAAGCAATTTCAAAAAAAACTTTCTAAACTAGTAAAGCCCATATTTAAAAAAGTACATAAACTGTCAATTGATAATACAAATATGATATAGGCGATAAAATCTACTACTACTGTTACATACCTTGACAGACCACCATAGTCGAGACCTTCTTCACCAGTAAAAGAAATAAACAATCGACAGCGTAATTCATGAGCTTTTAAACGCATAATTTGTTCAAATGAATCAACAAGCAGATTCCCACGGGATACAACTATTTTAACATTTTTAGTCACTAGATTTGAATGACAAAGATAACGAAAACTAGAGACTTTATTTTCAAATGACCATGCTTGTTCAATATTTCCACTGTGAAAATTGAAAAAAATTGTAAAAATTAATAAATAGACGACTGGCAATAAGATCTTAGCAACTCAACAACTCTCATATTGAAACACACTAGTACTGAACAACTTAAGTAGTTACAAACCAATCAGGTTGATCTGTAGATTTTGTCGGCCAGATCAAGGTGATCCAACCAAATACACACTGAAGGGCAGTGGCACTTGTTTGGGGTCGAGTTTGCCAGTGGTGTACTCGAACGAATTCGTCTCACCTGGATCTGGCTAGCTGACTTTTATGGGCCGATATGCTTAAAATAGGATGACCAATTAGCAAATGATTTATAAATTGCACAATCTCAATCAATCAATTAATATCAACATAGGACCAGGCATTACTGCGTAACGGTCCGAGTTGCCACACCTCATATCAGCACATCAAGTAAAAAGGTAGTGAGGTGAAGGATGAAGATAAGCTAATGCAGTCAAAAGAAATATAAGGTACGAGAAGAAAGGAAAGAGGAGTGACAAAATGGTGAGATTCGGTATAGCGTTGCTAAGATGAGGATAATGTGTGTATACATCTGCGCCACTGACTTCGGTTCTGAGCCATATCACCTAGAGTCTCCAACCACTGGTTCCTCTTGTCCCGTGGACCCCAACCACCTAGTCTGCATCGTCCTACATGGCTTAAACCAACAGTCAGAGACTTCATACATTGATGCCATGTTTTAGTCTGGCCACCTCGGGCTTTTTTCCAGCCTGGACCTACTTCGGCCAACATTGTGTGACGAGACAATCGGTGACTGGGCATACGTAGTACGTGTCCCAACCATCTCAATCAATGAAAGTTCATAACCTCGTCAACTGATTTACCTCTACTCCCTAGAACTCTACTCCTAATTTCTGCATTACTCATGTGGTGACACCACGGAATACGTCCTCTACTACGAAGGCAACGGTGGTCAAACATTTGAAGCCTTCTTATATCTTCCACTTTCAATGGCCATGTTTCATGATCTATTTTGACATTTATTACAGCGTTGAGCAGCTTTTCAACTGCCCAACTTTGGGGTCACCAGAGCATCTACTGGGAACCACTCCGCATCCAACATAACAATGTATTGTGACTACTGGAATAAAAGTGTCTTGAACTAGCGAAATCTACTATTACTGAACTATTACAGTGACCAGAAACCATTCAACTTGAAGCTATAAGATTAATAGAAACGATGTGAAAGAAGAAAAAAGTGAGGATCAATTTCAACATTATAAGCTTCAATGTACTATATAGAGTTTTGTTGTAACGATCGATTTGGTTAAAATTTCCACATTCATCATGCTGTTTACATTGTTGAGAATGCGTTTATGTGAACGATGAATGCACTTTAACACAATGCATGAATAGGTGATTTCGCCTTGAATGAATACAACGGAAGAAGTGCTGTCCTTATCCACCAACAAAAAGGATTACACGGTTACGGTAGAGAAATTGAGTGAAGTGTTTTGAAAGGTGCTTTTTCATTGATTATCTCTATGCGTAGACAACTTTATTTCGTGGAACAGAAACTAGGCAGTAAAACGGAACAGGCGAATGACACAGAAGAGTAAAGAAAACTGTGCGAATTGAAATGGTGACACTGAAAGAGAAAAGAAAGTGATAACACACCAGAATGTTAAATGGGAGAGAGAATATAATTAATTAGAAGATAACAGAATCGCAGTCCGTAAAAACACAACACGAAGAGATACGATCCTAGGCGTAGAAAGGTTCATAGAAATCAGAGGGTTACGCGATTGAATTCCTTTCCAATCGCCAAGGTTTACCTATGTATTCCCTGAACTGTGAATTAATAGATGAAGCTTGATGCCTAATACGAAAACCTACAAGTCACTTTTGATTTGCGCATACAGGAGTACAAGTATACACTTATAAGCTGTAACCAACAGAACTGTACTACGTGAGAAACACTTACCTTGAATCTTTTCGTCTAGGATCATTAAATGTAGATGTTTTTGTATTATGATCTACAAAAAATGGAAATCCTTCAGTTGTATAACGAATTTCCCAACCAGATGGCAATGGATGACCTTGTATTCTAGGATCTTCCCACTGAGATATTCTGCTAACATGGTTAACAAAATAAGAACGACCTGACATATCAACACGTCGCTCTAAAAAAGAAGAAAGAAAGAAAAATATGACAAGTTGAGTGATAAAAGTTTAAACTGTCATCATTAGGTAATTCTTCTCCTTCCCTGAGATGTTGCTCATTGACTTCAAGTAATGAAATTCAGGGCTAAAATTCCTCTCTCTCTCTCTCTCTCTCTACTTCAATTTAGGCAAATGAATGATATCACAAGTTCGCAAACAGGAAATAATACTCATAGCCTAATACATGCCTCTAAACAGTTGCACTGTATTACAGAGATAAAGACAACAAATATAGTGGTCCATTACCTTGCCCAGCTTACATTCCATACGATCACCCAGTATAACAAACTCAATAAGTACCTGTAATAACCACGTATAGGTGCATGTACAAATCTGTGATACATGTTGTGTGTCTGTCTCTCTATCCGTCCGTTTATAAGTGATGTCCCAACCTATCATCGAATGCATGAGAATTTAGAGAGTAAATCATTAGGCAATAGATTTAATAAAAATGGATGCATCTGAAACAGCATACACGTTAGTGTCTTAAATCATGAGTCACCCCTGTCAAATAATGTGGACGATACTATGCTAAAGGCATAAGCTATGGTGGGTAGAACAGAAATTACGTCAACCATTACTACAGTTGATAACTAGACTGTCTATGCAAATGAGTTACAATCTTACGATATATTAGACAGCTGTACATATCCATGATCCAAATACGGAGCGGAATTCTAGTTGGAACTGTCCAACATAAGTACCTACTACACTTAATTATTCAAACTATTAGTCTCCTCTGACCAATATATCTCACGCCGAGTATCATTTGTGTCAACAATATTACCTTGGATAATTCTATATAATATTTTACACATCAGGTTCGAGAAAGACAGTACATACATGTACAGTGTGTAGAGTACATAGGTTTAGTATGATAACTTTCCAAACGATTGCCCTATCACATTTTGAGACCTACTAACTTAACCACATGAATTTGGAGTCATCTGGAAGAGCGAACAATACCAGTTGTTAATATGTTTAGAATGGTGAAAGTCACAACGCTAAGTCAATTCAATAACTGTTGTAATTTCACTCACCCCAATTGGCTGGAAGAGGACCAAGTGGATCCATTACTCCACAGACAGATACATTTGTTCGTGAATTTCCATCCGTAAACACACCACCATTATTCCAAACAGCATTAGCATAACGTTCATTCATCTGTTGATGCATAACTCCATTTCGTGAAGCAGCCAGCTGTTGATAATTCTGTACTGTATTTAACAGTGTTTGATTTGGACACAACCATGTGGTTGTTCTGGTATTATGATCAATGTAATACACACGACCAACATTGTCTGTTCGTCGCTCCCACCTATAAAAGATATATTGCTTTATTAGCTAAACCCTCTAAGTGGAGTACAAATCAAGTTTCTAAATAAAATTGGATCTCGTGCAAACACGAAAGAGGAACCAATAAATTACTGGTTTGCCGATTCACTCAGTAAATATTTAATGCTTATCTTTAGATAAGTGGATACACAAGATCAAGATGGGAGGTTAAGACAACCCGATTCCAAACCAACGGTGTATATGCGCTTCAAAATATTATTTGTCTTTTGGGTTCCTAGTGGAACATAGGGCTTCGGTAGTACATTGCCATTTCACCCTGTTCTCTGCAGTCTTTTCAACCTGGCTCCACGACCGCTCAGAAGCTTTCATTTCTTCCTCGCACGATCTCCTCCATGTCACCCTCGGACGCCCAACTCGTTGTTTCCCCTTTGGGTGTTTCAAGATACGGAACGGATGAATTGCATATGAACCCACTTTGCGTCGGTTACTGGAATCCTCGGGAAGTATTCGACGTTGACCTACTGCCTTATCAGACTACAAGTTAAAAGTTCAGATAACGACCCTTTACCGCAATGACCTTTAGTCTACATATTCGGGTAGTATTTCAGCTTTCACATAGATCATGGAAAAAATCAGGGATTCATCCAATTGCAAACTAGACCTTAATTAGTTCCCACTGAAACACTGAGCACAGCACTTTGTTGTGAAGTGAATGGTATAAAGACAAACTTAAAAAAGTCCGTAGGTTTAACGATACTTCGATAGTACCTTCCAGCTTACCTAACAACCCGTTCACTCAAACAAAACAAAGCGTTTCAAATAAACAGTAAAAATACAGTAAACAACTTGAAAAAGTATTTATTTTCATAGTTTCTAACCAAATATACAATGTGCAACAGACCGAACACTGGCATACAGAAAAGGTAAGCATTACAACAAAAGTCAACTAGCATCAACATAAGACTTGGAAGTAATACATACGCTCCACCTATCGAGAGGTATGGGCAACTAGGTATTACCATCAATAGCCCTCATATAATAAGTATGGTTCATTGCCTACTCCACGTATGTGCACAATGTTACTGAGTGGATTTCGACTTTTCGGGTAATATCCCAAGTCTTTACACAACATACATCGCTCATAGCCCAGTACATAAAAATATATATCAGGTTGAGAGACAATTAAACCTTTATATGATAATTTTAATTAAGGTAATCGTAACTGCAACCTCTTTCAGCTTTACAACCCAATCGGATAGACATAATATTTATTGCAGAATAAAAACTAGACCCTACATTGTCCTATAAAATATGCTGTTGAAACGCAATAATTACTGATAATAACACATCTTTAAAGTTCAACAATATCAATAATGAATGATTATCAGTCTGTGAACTGAACTTACCCAGGCGGTAGAGGAGTCGGTTTACACCATGTCGTAGTCTTAGTTAAATGATCCACATAATATTTACGACCTTCTGCAGTATATTTAACTTCCCAACCAGGTGGTAAAGGTGTATCATCTGCATTCTCTGTGCTATTTGGTGAATTTAGAGCTGCACTAGTATCTGAAGTGTTCGTTGCATTGGAAGTAGGCATTCTTAGTGTATTGTTCGATGTAACATCCTGGCGGGGTGATGAATTTAAACGACCATTGCGAATCTAGCAGAAGACATATTAACCAATAATAATTGGTTTCAGTATACAGCAATAATATAAGGAAACAATGTAGTCAGTCAGTCAATGTAATAAAAACACATCAGAACTTACAGAAGAAAGGCCAAGTAATAGAAATGGTCGGTGGTACATTGTTTATAGTTATAAAATAAGACACAATCCAAAAATAAAGAGAATCTTATATGTACTCAAATAATTCCAAAATCTATTGTTGTATGGACAGTTAGTTTTTTTGTAATTATCGATCATTATAAATGAACAAATCCAATTTGTTTATAAATGAACAGTGACAACGAATAACATGTGGCATTGTGAACTCATTGATCAATTAACATATGACATTAAAAAAACATATAAGCGGCATAAAGTCTATTTGGTCCAACCAAAAGTGAAGAGGAGTCAACTAATCCCAAAAAGAATCCAGTTAAAATCAGAAACGATTACATACACAGGCAGAGACAGAAAAAACCAACAGAGAACCATGTACAAAAGTGCATTGTTTCAAGTTGCCGCACTACGCAGTGGTACACAAAGAACAAGTCGACAGAAAAAGGGTGATATCAAAGTAAACAAAGTTATGTGAGAAAAAGGTTAGTGCAGATATTCAAGTTTCAGAAGAAATCAAGGAATGAATATATCTGAGAGATTGTAACCGACATGTCACCAAGAGTTCTCAAACGCTGATTCCTTTTGTCTCAGTGACCCTAATCAGGCAGTCTACATCTCCTAACACGGCTCAAACCAAGTCAGGGACTTCATGAACTGATATCACGTCTCGGTCTGCCCACTTTGAACCCTCTTCCAATGTAAACCATCTTCTGTTAGTTTGGCACTTCGAGATAAGCGGTGGCCCGGCATGCACAGTACATGTCCAAATCATCTCAATTGGTGGAAACTCACAGGCAAGTCGGTCAGTCAGTCGCACGGTGATCCCACCAAACGCCAACAATGCTACAAAGATATCCGTAATGAAAACCTGTAACAGCTTTATGTCCCCTACTCTTAATGGCCAGGTCTCAGCCGTATAACAAGACAGAATGGACTACAGCGCAGTATACTTGTGCACAACACACATGCACACGACTGACTTTCAAGCAAACATTCTCCATGATATGTCGAGTTCCAGTCCTACTTCTTGAGTAGACCTTGTATGGCAAAATAGTGGAAACAGGGGGCAATCGAGTGTTTGCTTCCGTTTTGATGTCTTCAATGAAAAAAGCAGGCCCATCAAAGAGTAACACAACTGATCTTCCATCAATTGAAGTTATTATTTAGCCATATATTGAATAAAATAAAATAAATAACACGGATACAAAATCTCACATAGAAAAACGTCTTTACAGATGATTTTCCGATAAACTTTTTTCAGTGAATTAGGTATAAAAACACTATTATCTCGTACCCATTGCTTTCATTTCTGTCATACAATTATAGCTTTCTTCTGTGTATTGAACAAGTTTGTGTTAAGGAGTATGATATCAACTGAGTTGGACAACCATTATATTCTTGTAGCACAAATTTATACTCAAAAGCTGTATGAAGCTTGCCGAAGTCGGACTGTGGTTCACTGGTTTAGGCAGTTGAATTTCAAACAGGGAGTCACGGGCTCAAGCACCGTTCGACCTACCAAGGTTTGGGTAGCCAGGTAGTATCATCAATACCCCAAATACAATAGGTGTGACTCACCGCTTACCATTGCACGAGTGTGAACAGGGTTACTGAGATATAGTTTCAATTCAATATTTACCGAAAAGAAATAAATCTCCTCAAGGAGATATTTTTATTGTTTAGAAATTCAATAGGATAACAAAATCCAATCCGTGAATTTGCGATATCAGCAAATACTTATTTTAAACAATCAGTCCGTCTAATGAATTTAGGTAGAGTAATCACAAGATACAGTTTATCTGAACAATGTGATATATTTGCGCAATACATTCCAAACAATCTGATCACACGCATACTTGTCAGGTCCATTTATATTAAAATGAAGGATGGGAGGACAATATAACAATTAAGATAATAAGGGATTAAAACTAGAAAAGATGAGAAGACTGATAGAGTTTGCCCTAATCTTGGTAAGAGAACTAAGTTGACTAAAGTAGGTGTAGTATGAGAACATGTTTTTTTTATACACACAAAGGTGGTTCTAATTTGCCTATGGCTATCTATCGCTTTTACACATCTTTATTGTTTCTACATAGAACTTTGAAAGCCGTTTGAACATTAATTTTGTGATCCGTTTCTATAATACGCTTAGCTACAGAGGAAGAGGGTCGTCTCCCACCTGCACTTATCAAAGGTTCATATGTCTGGTGACCGTGAAAACAAATGCTCAACGATGACATGGGATGTAAGTCGCGATTTATCGTGAACAAAAAGAAGTAGGAAAAGTGGATCATCGGATTCCAACCCAGTGGCTAGCTCAGTGATAACGTGATGGTCACAGAATCTGAAGGTGCTGGGTTCGATCTATGGTGAGGTGGGGTCGTGAATGCGCACTGCTGAGGAGTCTCATACTAGGACGAAACAGATGTCCAGTACTCCTAGGTTTCTAATGTTCCTCTAACTGATGTCTATCCATGATGAATATTAACCTGAAAAACTGGAAATCCCCACAAACCCCCAAAATTAACATACTCCATTTGTTTTTGAAGCTGTTTAGGTAGTTTCCCACCCTTAACTGCATGGTTTGATTACTCCTCCCTATGTATGTGTGAACACACACCCATTAGGACTTAAGCTAACAATCTTTGCTTTCAAACGGGAATGATGCAATCATAATAAATGAATATTTAAAATCCTTACTTGGACGTAGTTGTATCTTCACGAGTGCTGCAGCTAACTTTTACTGAAATTCAAACTCATTAATCATCGCTTGAAACAGTAGTGCTATCTTGTAGGTGACTACTGTCTTAGAACAATCATTCTGTGTCGACGAAATATGTATGTCTAAAATAAAACCAAAAAACTGAAGTGTCTCTCAGCAACAACATGTATGTTCATGCTGTGAGCAATCTACCATACAGATTGTGAAACAGATGGAATAGGACTCGAACCTATGGCGAATAAGTCACAACTCTACTACCGGTATATATCACAGAAATTGTGTAAAAAGCTAGATAATCCCTGTTTAAATTAGTTGTTCATCTGAATGGGAACGGTAGTGGGTAGACTGAAAAGTCTACTAGTCATAAATAATGGCAACTTCAGCATCCTCAGAAACTGGTCTTTCGACAATTCCTAACTGGATAAAAAAGCTTTGGAAACCATAACCGTGTATTCTAAACTTCAAGTTCTTAGTAGGGAGAGTGAAGCAACTTGATCTGAAGGTCACAGGGACTATTTAATCTCGCCAGGTCTAGTGTGGTATGCTGGTAGTAAAATAAACACCACTTGACGGGCACTCAATATATAACACTACTACTAATCTCTAGTGTGATATCTATACTCTGCATAATAAAAGTGTACTGTTTTCGCAATATCCGATATGCCACTAGGGTTTGTCATTCCTAATAACTGGGACTAGTATTCTCACATCCATGTAGGAATTTGTAAGCTTACACACAATACAGAAATGTCAAGCCGCTCAAACAGCTGTCAAAAGCAGTTCGTAACAGTAGTTCAACAACCTTAGGCATGCAATGTATCAGTAGTAGCATTATCACAGTAACGTCTAAAAAGATAACCAATAGGACTGTGATTTCATTCATGGTAGAATATAGCAGAAATAATCTGCAAGAATGTTATGAAGCATGCAAACAACGGCATTAAGTTAACTAAATTTGGCCCCACACAGAAAAATTATTCTTTTTCACATCTACCAGCCAGGTGAGTGATGATGCTTAAGAAAATGTCCTAACAGGAACAATCTTTGGACAACTGAATTCCTACACACTGGCTTAATGGCAAAGTGACCGCCATGGAGCCTGAAGGCTCTGGGTTCGATCCCTGGTGGGATCTGCTGAGCCCTACAGTAGGACGAAACATATATCTAGAGCTTTCAGGCTTTTAATATTCTTCTAACCGATGTCAGTTCATGATAAAAAATATCAACTAGAAACAGTTTTTGTCTTATAATTTAAAAAAATAGACGCGGGATTTTCGATAGAAGACTAACAAATCGATTAATTGCAACAGTCCAGACGAAAATGACACACACAATCCATATTGTAAAAGAAAATGAACTGATATACGAATCAAAAAAGGTCACATTTTAAACAAAACATAACAGCACGATTGAACTCTGGGCATTGAAAGTGCAGATGCTTGGAGTAAAAACCTTATGATAGATGATGGGTCAAATTCGCTATTTATAGCTATCCAACAACGCTTAAACATACATTTTGATAGAAAAATCCGAAACATAAGTACAAAACTTGGGAATTGTGGTAGAATTTAATTCTATATTAGACTTGTTTATTTGATTTATGAAATACAATGATACAATATGATTTACTGGATAGAGAGAGAAAGAAATTGATTACTGAACCTTTGTTCAACGAATCAACTCCCAACACATGGAATAGCAATGATGCAACACCTATGTCGATATAGAAAATTTTACTATCAATAGAAACAAGGAATATCAGGTGAAAGGACTATAAAAATCGACTATTTCAAGGGGAGTGATATGATTATGAGCAATAATTTATGCTCGAAACGTCATAAAGTAAATAATATTATATCAATATGTTTTATAAATCAAATAAACAGAAAATCTAAAACATTTTCGTTCGATGGTATAGCATAGCATCGCAGTCCGTCTTGTTCTGCTGTACGGTAATGAGATATGGCCATTAAAAGTAGAAGATATGAGGCGATTACAGGGTTTTGATCACAGATTTCTTCGTAGCATTATTCACGTTAAGTGAGATCACAGAGTGAGCAATATTGAAGTCACGTGAAGAGAACTGTGTGAGACAGGAAAGCCAAGTGGTGAGGTTGTGAACCTTTATCGACTGAGATGGCCTCAGTATGTATTGCGCATGCCGAGCCACTGCTTACCTCCACTAGAGGGAGCTGGATTAGGTAGGAAGAGGGTTCAGGGTGAACAGACTAAGACGTGATACCAGTCCATGAAGTCCCTAACTGTTCGTCTGAGTCATATTAGGAGATGTAAACTGCATGGTTGGAGTCCCCGATATGAAACGAATAAGTAGTTGAGAATTCTTGGTGACACGGTTGAAAATCGGTCACAATCCCTCAGATGTATTCACTCCTTGACATCGTCTAAAGCTTGAATATTTGCACTAACCTTTGTCTTCAAGTTGTTTATTATCTCACAAAACTTTGTCTGCTTTCATGTCACTCTTTTTCTATGCACTTGTTCTTTGTAGACTTCTGTGAAGTGTGACAACTTGGGCCGATGAGCCTGTGTGTGAAGTTCTACGTTGATCTAGTCAGTCAATCAGTCAACACATTTAAATCATATGGTATAAACTTATGGCTGCCAATATAACCTTTACACGTTCACGTGACTGTAACTTTGGATACGTCTGTGTTTAATTTCGTCTGCACTTGATTCAGATTTCTTGCGCCAAACAGTCAGTGATTGGGAGGAATACGAGAGATTTCAGCAACTCTTCTGATTATTCGCCATTTACAACCTATGGATTATTACAAAAATTGTTTTTAAAAGGGCACTAGTGTAAAAACAACTTTCTTCATCATCAAATTACGAATAATCCATCAAAACATTATCTACTAGAGTCTCGTATTTTTTCGTCTTTTACCTACTTCTTTTCTCAAAGATAAATAACCACAGGGTTATGGAATAATAACAGACACTAACATCTAAGCTATTGTGACTAGTATAACTAATGTTGCTGAATAACTATGTAAAATACTACTAAAAAAACTCAAATGCTGACAGAGTTATGACGGTGACTGACACTTCTCAGTTGTCCAGATTGTGGAAAGTTATTTCTTTGTGAGGTAACTGAAAGAGAAACGATTAGTGCGTCATCACAAACTCAATAAATCATCTTGAGGCGAGTCAAACATGGTCTCTATTGAGAATCTTGGGATTTTGGCTTGTTTGTTTTGAAGTTTACTATGAACACAAGTTGGCCGCATCGGGACGCCAGAGGGTAGTGGGCAGTGTGTTATTTTTAGGGCTTATCTTTTTTAATCCCCTCCTCGTTCCCATAGGGAAGGCAGCATAAGTGTGGCACTATTGGACATATAAGGGAAACACCTTACTGCTGTCATACTGCCACTCAGTCAGCAGTACGACTTCATCCTCGAACCCTTAGAGTGAAAATTTACATAATGACGGTAACTGCTTTTGTCAAACAGACGTTTCTGGCACGGTACCGCCTGGAAGAAACAGGCGTCCCAGCAGTATAGCTCTTCGGATCATTGCGATATATAAGCCAAACCACCAAGTCAAGGCAGTAGCTATTGGTTGGGTTAGATGCTTTTGAGTTGGAAGTGATCATTATTTCCTTGATAAGACAACTAATACACAGTATTTCTTACGGAGTCAGTAATCTATTGGCCACTTGGTTCGAATACAGCCACAACTCAAGTTTTCATTTCACCTCCAATCATCGTCTTACATGAATATTTCTGACGTATTTTTTGAATGACTCATTCATTTAAAAAGACAGGTGCTAACAATCCTGAGTGAGTTAGATGTAGCTTACAGAAAGCTACTGATTACTGAATATTAAAAAAATCATCGATTGTTTACTGGCCTCCACTCTTGGTTAAGTGTACATAATATTCAATTAAATGTTTGTGGGGATTTAATGCTTTCAAGTTAGAGAGACATTAAAAACCTCGAAGCACTAGACATCCGTTTCATCCTAGTATGAGACTCGTCAGCAGTACGTACCCATGACCCAGCCAAGGATCTTGATTACTATTCAGTTTGGCTGTTGAGAAGAATACTCATCATCTAATTACGTTGACCCGATAATTTCTTGCCCATCCAATTATATTACGTCATAACAACAGCTTCAACACACTAATCAGTCATTATTCTATCACTACCCTCAATCTATCAACAATAAACTATTCCTTAATAGTATGATTAACAAAAACTCGATATTGAGAACAGTCTAAAATACACTTAGCAACTTTGTGTACATTTGTGTGGGAGGCAAAGAGCCACACCTATTGTATAACGGCGAATGATACTACCTGACTGCCTAAGCTTAGACAGGTGGGGCAGTGTTTGGACCTATGACCCAGTATTTGAAAGTCAACCGCCTAAACGAATGAGCCACAAGCTCCACGACTGATATAATAGGTCTGGTTCACTGTAAACTTCAGGAAACTACATATGATACAGAAAACTAAGATTCATTTCCATTCATTCCTCTACAGACCAGAACTGATGACAATATCTACCTTTTGAATGAAATATTCACAATAAGAAATTCTAATTCCTTATCTTCACTACAGTCTTCCCTGGTAAAAGAAGAAAATACCATGACCAGGGTATAAGAAAGAGATCATCAATAAATTCACTAACTGTGAGACAGTTGACTTACAGGAACTGACAGTCTGGATGCCGATCTGGACAAGTGTTGGGCTAGTAACGCACTGTTCAGCTGGCGTAATGGTACAGAAATCGAAAAATCAAGATTGCCCAATACAGTGGTGGCAGCGATATTAGAATTTTGTAGCCATGGTAATGGTATAATTGGTTGTGAAAATGCTAGATTGTTTACTGTCAAAAAAGAAAAGAAAGACATAAGTGAATCGATCAATGGTTAAAAAACAACACAAGCCTACAAACTCGTATACGTTTTACTTATCAACTAGTGATGATAAACAGCTTTATTTGCTAAACAAAAACGGCACCCAAAGCTGAGGTTCATCGCTTTAGGCGCTCGATTTTCAACCAGTGGGTCACAGGTGTAAATCTCGCTCCACCTACTCAGGTCTAAGCAGCCTACTAGTATTATTGGCCTTTATCCAAACAGGTGTGGCTCATTGCCTGGTGCACTAATATGGATGAGATGGGAGTAACAACCAATCAATTACAAATATCCTTCACCTGTCTATCTTTGCGAGTGACTTTTCAGGCCACCCTAGCAACAATTGAAATAACCAATCAGGTTTCTTTATTTCGACTGGGAAAATAGATTTTACCATAAGTTGCAGAACTCTCATTGGTTACTGCGGCAGTTGTTAGGGTGGCCTTTAGAGTCACTCATCTTTGTTCTCATCCATTGGCGTCATTCTGATTAGGCCGCCTATACTTTTAACGCCTTGCACATTTCCCATATATTTTGCTAAACGTTAAGAGTAGTAAGATTTGACTACTATTATTTGTCCCTTGGGTTCTTAGTGGAACACAGTGCTTCGGTAGCACGTTGCCATTTCACTCTGTTCTCTGCAGTCTTTTCAACCTGGCTCCACGACTGTCCATAAGCTTTCATTTCTTCCTCACACGATCTCCTCCATGTCACCCTCGGACGCCCAACTCATCTTTTCCCCTTTGGGTTCCACTGGAGGGCTTAATGCGTGATACCCCCAAATAATAATAGATTAGCGCTGGGCGTTTCCCGGAGTTCGTAAATCATACAACTCAACAGGAAACCCAGACTGAGGTTAAGACGAGTAACAACAGATAAACCGTCATGTCAGAAATCTAACAATCTATCAATCAGATGTATACAGAAGTGTATGAGGATAAGAATCCCACTTGTTACCGTTGCAAGTAGAGTATAACAATATCACCACAGTTGTTGTGATAAAAGTAGGAATTAGAATTCAATCAGCAACGTAGTGCACGTTCGTGTAGTAGCAGTAGCAGTAGCAGCAGTAGTAGTAGGAGGAGGAGGAGGAGGAGGCAGTTTGCCACACCCATTGAGTAAGGACTATTGATGACACTACCTAGCTGCCCAAACTTCGGTAGGTGGAGTGGAGCTCGAACCCGTAGCCGATTGGCTGAAAGTTATCTCCCTAAATCAGTAAACCACGGATCCACGATGAAAGAAAGTGTACTGAGATTAAATGTCCAACTGGATGGATGACAGTCAATTCCTTAACACTATATAACAGCCTCACTAGGAGAAAGATTTTTAATAAAAATCTTATTTTATAGTAAAGGAAATCTTCATTAACTAAAAGAATGATAACAACCCAATGATGTTTACAGAATAATGAAATAAAGTTTTTAAATAGATACCGAAACTTGTGAAGTCGATGAGTGGTAGACAAAATTCTACTCTATAACAAATAATCCACGTGTGTTAAAAATTCAAGCGAATCATTCAAACATGAAATAAACGAAGTATATAGAAACCATAGTAACTAAATTTGTTGTTGATGCAATTCAAAAAAAAATTCCATATCTCCCTATTATCATTTTAGAGCAATACTTTAAAGGCCACCTGAGCAACCGTTGAGATAACTAATTAGCCTTCTACATTTTAAGAAAAACTACCTTTACAGTCGAAATATCGAAATCTGATTGGTTATTGCGGCAGTTGACAGGGTGGTGTTTAAAATCGCCCATCACTTTACTAGCAGAAAAGTTACCTAATGAAAACAAGTTCATGTCGCGACATACATGGACAAGTGTATATTCACTTTAAAGACGAGGTGTATGCTTTACATACACTGAAACAAAGCCTTGGTGATAATGGATACGACAAACTGATAGGCAGTTCAAAATCGAGTTTCCCTCATCACAAATATTATTTTTTAAAAGGGTATCATTATTTTCGATTGCCTACAGGCAATGTTTAGCTATGGTGAAACTTATGTGCAGTTATCACGCGAACTTCTTGAGTTCGTGTGTTGTTTAACCTTAATTTACATTTACAAAGCCTGTTTTCTACATTATCTCCAACTCCTCCACATGTACACCATGTGTGCGTGGCGAACAATAGAACCTAGGACGCACGTTTCGTGCAATTTGGGACACGTCACCAAGCAAATTACAAAATAATGAACAATCAGGTTATATCAAGCCATCCGTATAAAAGTCCATCTGCCATCTGCCCAATATTTTAACAAAATAGGAAAATGGTCCTTTGAAAGATCAAACTGCTAATATGGAGTTGTATTGTCGATACACGGATGATACCTTTTTAGTCTTTGATGGGTGCATATGTATTGATTTTATTCTGAACCATTTCAACAGCGCTCACCCATCAATTCATTTTATATATGAAAATAAAATCAATGATTCAATACATTTTCTTGATGTGTTATTGACAAGAAACAAAGATGGCTCTATACTGAGAAGTATATATAGAAAACTAACGTCTAAGACACAGTATATGCACTTTCTCGGCTTCGTACTAATAAAGCACAAACGTAATATAATCAGATGCCTGGGCATTTAGAATAAGATCGATTTGTTCCAAGGAATATGTGGAAAAAGAACTACTGTGTATCTGTAATATTCTAAGTCAGAAAGGATATCCGGATAAGTTAATCAAAGCTAGCATCAACTACATTAGTCATAAACAAGAATTGATGACAGTGAAGAAGCCTTTGTTTTCACGCTTACAATTCAATAGAAGATGCTGCAAGTGACATTCTAACACAACACCTAACTAGAGCAGTCAATAGGATGTTTTATGCAGGTCGTTTTAACACGTCATTCAGTAGTCAGGCAATGCTCAATCCGAGACCAAAACATAGCCTACCTAACCTTATCTCTTCATCTTGCATATATCAATTCAACTGTTCTTGTGGAACTAGTAACATAGGATGTGCAATTAGGCAGGCGGGTCTTCGGATATGAGAGCATTTACCAGATAGGTTCGGAAAGGGTGAAGTGAAAGTGGTGAAACTTTCAGTAATAGTGCACCTAGTTGACATAGGCAATCACATAGATGCTAATACAGCTTTCAATGTCATTCATCGTATTCCAAAAACGATACCACATGTAGATTGCCAACGATTCCTCAAAATAGCGGAGGTTGTCGTAATAAGATTGATCAGGCCTGAACTCTACATTCAGAAAGAACCTGTCCAAGCGTTACTTTTCCCTTGGTCTTCAGTAAACTTAAGCCCACTCCTGCCATTTTATTCGTTATCTTTTTGTTCACTATCATATCATTCATCTGTATATGTTTCATTCCAATATTGACAAGTTTATAAAGAAAAATCTATTTCCTTACAGTCCCAAAAATTTTACTCCATTTTGAAAATGTGATTGCCCCTAACTTGACCTAATTTTACGCTGTACAAATGTATTTCATAATTGCAGAAGCTGAAGAGGACTTATTGAAAAGAATATTCTTCGTTCAGATTGTTCCTTTTTATCAATAATAACCGATGGCTGTCGTGCAAAAGGTGGCTCTCGTGCCACAGTGATTTAGTGGATTACGTTTTGGTGTTTGAAGCCACGGGTACTGGGCTCGATGGAGTCTCAGTGGGAGACATCACTCGCTGAGGTGCACATGCACATTCAGCCTACGATCTCTAAACAGTATGCAGCGTGCATCCTAGATTGATTCCACTAATAGCTATCATCCAGCAAACTACAACAATGAATACATTATAAGGCAATACAAGGGTATTCGCATAGGAGCCCATGTGACAACAGAGGTCGATTAATTCGACTCAGATTAACAATGGGAAATTACAAATTATCAATAAATAATGATATGTGTATCTATGGTTCTAGCGTGAAAAACGGAATTAAAAGCTGTTGAAAAATGGCTGCTTAACAAAGTTTTGTCATTTCCCGCGGCCCAACTACACATGTCGAAGAGAAAAGGATATTTCAGGAATCTATACCAACAATTCAAAATGTATGTGTATCGTCAGTGACACCCAACTGTTCCTCTTCAGTTGACATTATCGGTTGAATCTAGTAAATCTCTATCATTTGATTGTAAACTGAAACGCCGGAAATCACCCCAAATGGTCTAGAAGACTAGATATTTTATTAATCCAACAAGCTGAATACGTAGCCAGTCCATAGGATCCATCTGACATAAATCTATAAGCCATTTGGCAGAACGTTCAAGTGGGAACTTTAAAGGATTGGCATATTTCGATATTCATTTGCATTCCTTGTTTATGCGTTCGGCCTCCACAGTTCACCTGATACTGGCTTCACCAAACGCATGAGATGTGACGAAAACAGTGATGGTTAGATACCTTAAACTTTCTTCTTTTGTCTTCCAATTTAAAAACCAAGCTTCATAGCAATATATCAAGACAGGGGGTACGCAACCCCTAATGTAAGCTTTAACCATACTCTATGTCAGTAAATCTGTATGAAATAAGCTTTTAGGTATCTGAATACTTTTATCTTTGCTACATTATCTGCTTGTCATGGGACCACCGCTCTATGAATAGATTGGAGGTTGAGTACCACATTAAAAAGGCTCATACTTGGCGATGAAGCGGTGGAAGTAGTCACAAAATTCCATGTATATGTGTAGTGGTGTCAGTGCTTAAGGGAATGTGAAATTTTCAACTATATATACAAAGCCAGAACAGCATAGGCTAGTCTATGTCACTTCTTGCATCATCAAGACCTCAGCCTGGCGGTAAAAAGGTTGGGTTCAAAACGGTTAAGTGCACGCAGTTCTGTTCTATTTGATCTATTTGAGGTGATGTTTAACGGCAATACAAATCCAATCACCGTTGTCCCCGAAAAACTACCCGCATCCGATAGAAAAACCAAGTCATTAATTCTGATATGCAATAAACAGTGCATGTCTTGGCATGATAGAGATCGTTATTCATTGAGTGATGATATTATCTTGAAGCATCACCTTAAGCGGTTTGAATATGAGTTACAAATGTCATCCAGCGTCCAGCTCAAACTGTCCACTGTTTTGCAGACCCGAAACTTGTTGGCAGATGTAAACAGATGGTCACCATATAACTTGGTATGGAAAGATGACGGAGAACTGTGTTCAGTTAGTATCTATTGTTGCCTCACGATTCCTTGGATTGGGTGCGGACAGTCATGTGACTCAGTGGTTCGAAGTCACTAGTGGTCAATCTGTAACTTGAATTTACATTATCTCACTGCGTAACCTTCAAGATAGGCTTCGTGAAATCAAATTAAGAGACTTAAATATTAAGTCAGAGGACCTAAATAAGGGACTCAAGCATATCAAAGAGATATAACTATCTGTCTAAGTTTTACTCTCATACAAATAACATGTAATTAATGTGACGTCATGTACATAGGTCAAAGTAGCCAGTCGGGGCCAGTCAAGATATCGGAACACAAAAGCTTAGCGAAATGCAGAATAGTTGACAGCGTCAAAGTAAGTAATTTAAAGAAAAGATCAATTATTGCCATGCGTTCACTGATGCATAATCGCAGTTCTAAAACCCAGTATATCCTGGTGAAAGGAGAGGTCGATTACTAAGTCTTTCAAGTTGGTACTCATCACGGAGTAACATCAGTTGTAGGACTAATGAAAACCTAGGAGCACTGGAGAGCTGTTTTGTTCTCGTGTGGAACTCCAGAGAAATGAGCCCCATGACTTCGCCAAAGAGCAAAATGAGATTTCTCGAAATTATAGTGAGAAATCATGAGTGGTGGAGCAGACCAAGTCGGATATGAGGAAAAATACTCAACAATGGAACTGGATGAAGGTCACGATATATTGCGAAACGATAGAAGTAACAAAAAATGTGGGCCATCGGATTCCTACCAAGTGGGCCTGCGGTGAAACTTGAAGGTTCAGGATTTGACCCCTGAGGGGTCAAGGGCGCACTGCTTCAGAGTCCATCATTTGAGCGAGATAGTTTCTCTATGCTCCCATGCTTTCAGCAGGTCTGTAATCGATATCAGTCTGTGACGAATATCGACTTGAAGCCAACAAATCTCTGCGAAACTTCAAATTGAATTACTAAATCTTTATTCATCAAGTCAACACTTAACACACTCAACAGGAATGTTTCATCACACACCGCGAACATTTAGAACAAAAGAATGAGTTGTTGAATATTAAAAAAAGAGTTTGAAAGTTGTGATTTCTTTGATATGATTAGGACCAACTAATTATGGTTAAAATGTCACTCAGCAAATAATACTTTATCACTATGCGCTACATCAAATAAACTAATCGAAGATGTAATTGGATATCCCACCGACACCATCAACTGTCTGACTTCCGGCAGGAACTGTTGAATGAAATTCCAGTTACTTGGCTAACGTCTACGCGAAAATCAGTCGTTAGATTCAGAATCTATGGCAGTGGTGAGCAAATGCAACGATCGACATCTTAATATCATACATTTGTATTCCTGCTGTCTCCTTCCTTTGTTCCATGGCACGGTATAACTTTGATATGAGTGTATCCACTTCTCAGACTTACTGATTGTTAACTTTTACTTGACGTATTGCTGTCAAGTCGTTTGATGAGGTTGTCAACCTTTAAAAAAGAAGTTAACTAGGATACGTGCTATACATACACAGCCACAGTCTAACACAATATACATTATCAGCTGAAGTGCGATTTGGTTGGATAAAAGCTAAGCATGACCAGATGAAAACATGGTAGCGATCCACAAGGGCTCAAATCGTGTGCAGAAGATGTGGGCTACCTACCTGATCGGAAGCCCACGGATATTACGATACGATGGGTGCAGACTCTCGATGACAGACAAAAATCGATTCACTCTTCATTATTTTCAAAACTTTAAAAATTTTATCTGGTCCTTTATCCCTTCTATTTTGTTTATTTCAACACCATTCTGCTTCTCTTCCTTTCCTCTTTGCAGGCTGTTGTTAAGTATAGAGACTCGGATTGATGTGGTTCTGCATAATTTTTTAAGCTAATATATGATTAATAGCACCGTTATGCAGCTGAACTTGACCCCGTTTCGTTCAAAACTGGAGTCTAAAAAAAGACCCAGTCATTGAGTATGATTGTTTAAGGTGTATTGAAGCAATTCTTTTATGATGTCCACAACTTCAAACAATACTTAAGTGTTTTTTCATTCACTCGACTCCGACGAGAAATTTTTCCCACTCTAATACATCTTAAAATGAAAAGGAAAACGTTTTCAATAGAACTTATCGGACCTTAGGTGAATATTCAGAGCTCAGGTTGTATCCATCTACTCAATAAGTTATGAAGAAATCATTTCATACATTACTAATTCGGTAAACAGAACAGCATTAAATTCAGCCGAAATAACTATGAGAAATAAATACCATAATGTAAGTGTCATTTGACAGCCTCTATCTTCGACTGACTCATACCACTTGCAAGAACCACCGGGTGATTATTGAAGTTACGTTTACACTTCCATAAAAACGAGGTAGAATATTGCATAACCTGACCACAATACTTATTTGCTCACCCCAATCTGAGTATGTTCGTCATGTGTGATGCTCCAAGACTGGTCTCCAACTTATACCAGTTTAATGATAAGGAGCGAAGTGGTGGAATGTGTCGACCGCTTCACTTACTTGGCGAGTTACATCATCTCAAACAGGGTGGTCGCTGACGAAATTTCCGATCGGAAACAGAAGGCCTGTTTGACATTTGCAAACCTGCACCATCTGTGACTCTGAGTGGCGAGATATATAAGTACTTATTAAAAGGAAGAGTATGCTGCACTGCAGTCTGTTATGTCCTGCTGTACTGCTGTGAGACATTGCCGTATAAAGTAAAAGAGTTGATTCTGTTACAGGTTCTCGATCACAGATGTCTTCGCAGCATTGCTCACATTTTGTGGGATCACCGAGTGAGCAATAATGAAGTCAGGAGAAGAGAACTGAGCAAGATCGACAAGCCAATTCATGAGGTTGTGAACTTCTAACGACTGAGATGGCCTGGACGTGCCCAGCTAAGGGAAGATGGATTAGATTGGAAGAGGGTTCAGGGTGGCTAGTCCATGAAGTCCCTGACTGTTGGTTTGAGCCATGTTAGGAGATGTAGACTGCCTGGTCGGGGTCTTCGAGACGATAGGAATCAATCGTTGAGGACTCTGGGTGATATGGCTGAAAATTGGTCACGGTGGTCGAGATGTATTTACTCCTTGACATCTAAACTTTAATATCACTCTTTTTCTAACTACCTATTCTTTGTATACTACTGTGAAGTGTGGCAGCTTGAACCGATGCACTTGTGTGCCATGTTTTACGTTGATTTTATCTACTTATCTGAATAACTAGAAGAAATGACTAGAAGAAATTTAGTATAGATGGAAACACATTCTGAAAAATGATTGATAGAAATCTATCAGCTCTTGGAACTAGACAACACGAATACGGTTGTATACTACTCAACGACATGAGTACTTAGAAACTACTCAAGATCAGAGTGGTCTGAAAATTGAACGGACATTTCGCTTGTTTAGAGTTGAGCTTATCACTGGTGTATCCGGAAAAATTCAGCTCACAGAGCCAAATTGTTCAGATCAAATCTCCAGCACGGCGTGCATGATTTCTAAACAATCATGTGGTTCAGCAGTATAGTTTATTGGTTCTAGGCGAAACCCTGTTGATACTATAGTTGAACAATTGGAAAACTACTCAACTGTGAGAAATGTCAAAGGGGACCATGAATTTTGCAAATCATTTGTAAAATGATCATCCTAAGAAATCAGTTAATCTTCAGTGATCAATCAACGTATCTATTCCAGTCCTCACTGGAGAACATGTGATTGCAGCAGTGAGGCTTATGTGGGTCCGAATCTCGGAGGGGATATCAGGTCTTTCGAGGTTGTGGATACACTTTGCCGATGAATGACAGCAACCACAAGAGCTAGATCGATCAGGGTTCCTGGCTGATAGCCTGCAACAACCTATTGCCAATAAAAGTGTACTGTGAGTCTCCTAGCTTGATAATCACATTATAAAAATGACTGATGGAATTCAAATGGGCAGTTAGGAATAGACAACATAAAATTGGTTACACTTCGATTACCAGTCAATGTACATTTTTCGTCACCTTCAGATGATGAACAAGACGTTCACTTTACACCTATTCACTAAACATTATTTGTATAATGAAGTAATTGTCATCCAAAACAAGTAAAGGTGGGTGCTTAAGATACATCCTACACACTTTTATGTATGACTCGTTGGGCTTGAGCACTCGACCCTCAAATAATGGGTCTCGAATTCAAATTCCACTCCACCTAATTCAGTCTGGACAACCAGGCAGTACAGGTAATCCTCCACACAGAGTGACGCTCATAGCCTAGCACCTAATAAACAGTTGTACCTAAGCTAAAATTTATACACAAAGGTGTAGTTATAAAATAGAAAAATGGGGATTGTGATAAATAAGCAGTAAGAAAACATTGTCAGCACAACCTTTTCATCGAAAAAAAAATGGAAGGAAAGTAATGTAGGTTAGTGATATTACAAAAATAAAAACTTACATTGATTACCATTGGCAGCTGAAATAGAACGAATACTAAATCGAGCATAGCCAACTTCTATGCCTTCATCTCGTCTGCTATCACGAACAGAAAGACGAAATTCTATACTACTATCAACATCAGCTTTGAAATTGATAACCTGATCAAAATGAGGACGCCAACTACGAACAATAGGCGTTACATGGAAAGGGATGCAATTGAGTGCAGGTATTGCAGATGATCCTGGAGGAAGAACTTCAGCGGTGAAATTGAATTTGCATTTGTTTAAATTTATTCTAGCCAATAAACTCCAATTAAACGATTGTTCAAGACGTGCACGTTTAACTAAAAAGATGTATCATGGCATTGAATAATAGAAATGTAAATGTAAATAGTGCAATGGTGATGTAGTAGACAAATATAAACTGATATAGGAAAACCAACATATACAACAATCCTATTTAAAAAGGCAACGATAACAACAATAATAATAATAATAATCACTTTATTTCAGATAGGCAGTATCATAAATGCACACAAAGACGCCTGTCTGACTTACCAGTCAGACAGACAAAACCAGCGTAGAAACACCTAGCATATAAGTCCATCGGTTCAAGTTACCACACTTTACAGTAGTATACAAAGAACAAGTCGATAGAAAAACAGTGATATCACAGTAGACAAAGTTGTATGAGAGAATAAGCAGCCTGAAGATAAAGGTTTGTGCAAATATTGAAGTTTGGGAAGACGTCAAGGAGTGAATACATCTGAGCCATTGCGAAGGATTTCCAGCCATATCATCTAGAGTCCCCAACCATTGATTTCTATCGTCTCCAGTGGCCTACATCTCTCCTACATGGCTTACCCTAACAGTCAGTGACTTCATGAACTGGTGCCGCATCTCAGTCTGGCGCCTATCGAAAGTATATTACGCTTCGGTCAAATATTCACAGTTTATTACATTGGAAGTTGGTATTTATCAGGAATTGACATCAGTTGGCGAATCATTAAAAAATGGAAAGCACCAAACGGCTGTTTCATCCCTGGTAAGGTTGTAGGTGTGCATTGCTGAGGAGTCCTTTATTGTGACAAATCAGCTGTCCAGTAAAAGTTCGCATAAACTTGTTACATTACCATGAACAAAAACTATAAACATATTTCTGTGAAAGTTAAGTAAAAAGGTTGGTTAGTATATAAAAAAGCTATCCCTGTAATAGACTATAAATAAATTATTTCAAAAGACCGAACCATCATTTTTTGCGCATTACAAAACAGTTTTTTCCATTACACAACTGTCTTGTTTTTGAAATATATAACTTGTTGCTAACTGTCCACAGTTGAAGAAATTAAAAGACAAGATAAAAGTAAAATTGATCAGAAAGATGAGGAACGGGCAGCAAAGATCAGATCATTAGCACATTTGTTGCAAGAACTACAACATAAATCGCACTATCTCGAGAATCCGACCCACACCTATTGTGCTGCAATCTGCATGTACTATCGGTGTAAAGCAGTTTAAAGTCTGAGATTTCACTCAAATATGACTTCATTACTCTTCTTCACCCCTAAGTTGCTTCTATAAACAGGAGGATTAAACACAGTACCACTGAGCACCTTTCAGGACTTTCTATCAAGAAAGAATATGTCTGTTTCATTTTCTACCAACGAATTCCGTTGAACAGTTAAATGGAATTTGTTGAGAAAGATGACGAAAATAACATACAATTTATTGTCTCGGCCTAGAACCAATATTTTCCTTATTATAAAGACAAATACAATTCAGTAATCGCTTGTAGATTTAGGCATTACGGCTAAAGTAAACCTGATGTTTAAAGATTGATGACACAACGTCGTTACGAAAACATTGGTAGACAGAGTGAACAATTCAAAGTTGTGACCTTATCTCTTAGATACAATACTTCAAATTTCTTGAAGGCAGGATACACTACCCCATAAAACTAACCGTTAATACCAAGGTCACATGCATGAAATTTTGATACTAAATACATTTATTTTACGCAGAAAATAATACTAATCAATCAATATCAACATAAGACCAGGCATTACAGCACAACAGTCCAAATTGCCACACTTCACATATCAGCACATCAAGTAACAAAATAGTAAGACTAAAGATGAAGAAAGAAATTGAAATCGATAAAAAGCAGTAAAAGAGGAAGGAGGAATAAGAAAATGCTGAAGTAAGCATAGCGCTGAAGGAGATAAAGTGTAGATGCATCACCACTGACATAGATTTTGAGCCATATCACGTAGAGTCTCCAACCACTGATATCTTACGTCATTTAGACCCCAACCGGTTGGTCCGGATCGCTCTACATGACTCAAATCAGCAATCAAAGACTTCGTGTATTGATGTCATTTCTTTATTCTGGCCGCTCCGAGCACTTTTCGAACTTGAACATACCTCAGCTAACATTGCGCGACAAGGCAGACGGTGACCAGGTATGCATAACACATATCCCAACCATCTCAGACGATGAAGTTTCACGACCGTATCAACTAACTTTCCTATCATTCCCAAAACTCTACAACTGACTTCTCCTTTACTAACATGGTGACAGTAAGACACAGATTATGTTATGACGGCAACAAAGGTCAAACAAGAAAGGCCTTCTCATGTTCTCTACCTTTAACGTGAATGTTTCACAGCCATACAGTAGAAAAGAAAGAACTACAGCACAGTAGGCACGACCCTTAATAAAAGTCGAACATAGCAGTGGCGCCAGAGATGGTGTAAGCTGGTGAAAGCCAGACGAGCCTTTTGTATCCGTGCAGAGATTTCATCAGCCACTGGACCCATCAGTGCCTAACCGACTTCCCAGGTAAGTAACGTGGTCGACGCACACAACTACTTCATTCCCTACTGCTAATCGGGTCACCGCTTACGACCACTCCCAGAGCAACAATTTGCACCCCAAACATTCTCAGATTGCCACTCGGCGTCCAGAAGACTCCGAATTTCGTCAGCATCTTCACCTAACAGGACTATGTCATCTGAATTAGTAACGTAATGAGAAATTAGGCGAAATCTGACTTCAATATACAGCTGGTAAACACATATCTACTAGTAAACTTGAACTACATACATTCTAAACAACTCACTGAGCATTCAACAGAATGAAACGCTTTTTGAGCTGCGTTATTTAAGTGATGCTAAGACTCACTACTGAATACTAATTGATCAAACTAAAAGACTACGTAAGAAACAGGTGTATAATTGACCACAAGAATGTGAAAGTAAATATATATCAGCACAAAAGTTCTACGGTGGATGATAACCAACTATGGGGAAAGTAACACGATGTTTTAAGAAGTGAATGTTAAAATCATTTTCCTTTGATTTCATTTCATCCGTTCCTTACTCATTATCAGCTGTGAGTTTTTGAACTCATAGATCAAACAGATTGAGAAGTGATATTTCTCAAAAAAATATCTTGAAGAACATGCATGTTGTGGTATGCCCAAAGGTGAGATAATCCCGATCGCTCTGTCAAAACGCCATGATACGGCCACGCATTTATAATCAGTCAGAAAATCTTAATAAAGGTCTCCATGTCGTGGGGAATTTCCACAAAAGTTAGAGGGTGGAAGCAAATGTCTGGAACTATCACCAACTTGGCCCACACAAAGTGTTCAACTATGGGAATTGGAGAGCTTTGATTCCAAATTAGTCGCCTACACAGGCTTCACGATCAAAAACGGACGAAAGATGTATGAGTCTATTTTGATCGCCAGCAACCTTCACGTTGCTCTGTTGTTTAGTGGATCGAACTTCAAATTAGTGTCTCGGGAAATGGTAACTTAAGATAACCGTCTGCCTGGGTCTGGATATCCCCGCAAAATTGCAGCCCACATAGAATTTATGACTTTACATCTTCAATAGAGCTCCTCGCAGTAGTGAAAAAATCTGAGTGGTATATTAGGTGTAATATCTATATTCATAATGGATGGAAGAGAAATATGTATTCAACAGTGGTTTTTTGGTTACCTAGTTTGTGAATGATACTCCACACTCAATGTACAAAAACAGAACATTGACTTCTTTATCATCAAGAGACATTAGTTATGCATGAGTTCGCATTTCTTTATTTGTCACGATAGCGACTTTACTTTCTAACATGGCATTTTATGTGAAGTAAACGCTAATAAAAATTATTGTAGTTTAAGGTTTATGGGAATTTTATTCCTAAGGTAGTATTCATTAAGGACCGACAGCAGTTGAAGAACCACTGAAAACGTGCTAAACAGCGAAATGAAGGAAATTAGGAAACTGTGAACCAT